ACTATTACTCTTGTAGTTTCTTGTTTGAGACTGAGTTTGGTTACTATACGTTGTTTTTTGTACTTTAATTATTGTATTATGTTGTTTTGAATTACTGTTCAGGATGATTTGTGAGTCCGTCAATAGTATTTTGCCTTGGCTTCTTCATTTCCGTTATTTGCTTTTTCTTTTTACTGCTTGGATTGTTTCTTTACCTTGTGCTAAGGGTCTAAACAACCTCTATGCCTTCCAAGATAGTGCTTACACTCTACCCCTCCCCATACCCCACTTTGTGGGATTACACTGTATATTTGTGGTCGAACCGAGGGTCTAAAAGAAACAAAATAAGCTCTCTACCTCCGAAGATAGGGTAAGGTATGCATACACACTACCCTCTCCATACCCCACTCATGGGATTTCATTGGCTATGTTGTTGTTCTTGTTGAACTAGCTTCTGTATTTGTTGCTGAATGACTCTCTCTATATGAATTGTTTAGTTCACAGACTAGTTCTTCAAAGATTATAATATAGGGATTCTTTACTAATCAATTGTTTAGTTCACTAGACTAGTAATTATTATGTGTCAGTAATATGTAGGAATATTATGCAGCGAGTAATACTTCATGAATTGTTATGCAAAGATTGTCTGTTTTACTGGAACTTCTTATTTTTAGAAAATATCATCCAGTTATTTCTAATACACGTGTAACTATTCTACATTCTAATCTCGCATAAAATAATGCATAAATTCCGTGTAACTTGTGTGAGTATTATTAATGTGGAATGTTATGCTAGGATTGATTCTGTTTATGTTGTTAACCAAATGACATGTTATTGAGCTAGCTCGATAACGCTAGCTCATTGCAAGTTTCAGCCTCGTTCATCTCGATTTATTGCGTGTCCTCTATTCCCCCTGCCTTACAAGGACTGGAGTACCTAAGGTTGATTAATGGTTTACTTGCATAGCTGACTCAAAATTGATTCGGGATTGTGACATAGTAGATAATTGATTGATTGCTGTTGCAAAACCAACTCAAAACTGTCAAAGTACTGTGGAACGTTGAGCCAATTTTTAGGCAAAGTGTTCTCTACCCCCCACCCACCCCCCTCTTTTGGCGGGTTGATTATATATTGTTGATGGCATCTTATTTTAGGTTAGGAGTTCAGAACAAATTTTCTCCATTTTCCCGTGCATTTGGTACTTAGTTTTTTCTCTCAAATTTTTGAGCTTGGGAGCTTGCACTTTTGAATTTTTAATTGAAGCTTTGAATTTCATAGGTCGGGATGGATTGGTACATAACATGTTAGAGTTAATACATACTCACTGGAGGAGGAATCCTGTTTGTAAAGTTCGATGCTTAGGAGTCCCTACTGTTGATATGAACAACCTATGCCAATGTCTCGAGGTTATCTTTTGATTGAACGTTGTTGAATTGTTTCGTTATTTTTGTTCTTTGATTAAATTTTGTTATATATTCTAAAACATTTTACGTCTTGCCATCTACTGATCTACATGTTCAACATTATTAGGAGAAGACTGGCGGAAAGATCATACATAGAGTGGGTGGTGTAGTTTATCTCTTTCGGGGAAGGTACTATGACCAGCATACACGTCCAAAGTACCCACTGATGTTATGGAAACCAGCTACACCAGTTTACCCAAAACTTATACAGGAAGCACCAGAAGGACTGACCAAAGAAGAGGCTGATGAGTTACGAATCAAGGGAAAGAAGCTACCCCCTATCTGTAAATTGGGTACTTGATCTTATATGCTTTTAGCTAATTTTACATTTGAGCTCAGTCTCTGATTTGGGTATTGCATGTAAATGAGGTTATATACAGTAACATATGTGCAATATTTTTGGTCACACGCAACTGATGGCAGAACATCTGAACATGTTGAAACATCTTTATCCAGCTCCTTTTGCTTCTTAGTTCCTGACTACTAGCTAATTGTGGTTGCTTGAGAGAGTTTTATAAAGCTTTTGTTTTTTCAGCAATTGAATAGATTCCGAAACTTAAATCTTATTTTCCAATCTGAGAACTGTGAAATTAGGTCTTAGGTCTAACTCACACCCGAAAAGCTAGCTCAAAGGGAGGACTGCCCAAGCCTTATAAGGAGTCCATCCATCTCAACCACCGATGTGGGACTTTTGTCATTCTTTAACAAGAACCTAGAAAGTAGAAACACTCTGTAGGTGGATTTTCAAAATCTAAATGATACATGTTTTTGTTATATAAACAAAGTAAAACACAAGGTCCTCCAATTTCATCTGTGACCTGTCTGTTTAACTAGGAATGTTCAATGTGCTGTTTCTCTTTTCTATTTTTCTTTTTAAAACGACTTCATGTGCATTGTCTGTGGTTATCATCTGTTTCTGTGCTTTCCAGCTAGTGGTAAAGTTTTCACCTTTGTATATATGTAGAACATTAAACTCCAATTGCACTTTCTTGTGTTCTCATTAGTTTTGAAGAACTTGCGTATCTTCCTCTGCAGCGAAAAACGGAGTCTACCTTACGCTAGTGAGAGACGTGAGAAGTGCCTTTGAAGCTTGTCCATTGGTGAAGATTGATTGCCGGGGTATGCATGCAAGTGATTATAAGAAGCTAGGAGCTAAGTTAAAGGTTTTACTTATTGTTCTTTTTATTCTTTAATTATAACAATTGCTTGATTCTTATATTGCAGTCTAGTTCCCTGCATAACTTTGGCTTCTGTCAATTAGGTCTCAGCATATGCATCTTGAGCAATGAATCAGTAAAATATTTCCTTAAGATCTCTCTTACACATTGTTGCGCTACTTTAACAACCCTTCGGAGGTTTCATAATTATATTGCCAAGACAAGTAGCAAGATTAGTTGGATAGGAGCTTGCGCTGTGTTTGGGCATGACTTCCAGTTCAGAAACGCCTAGCCGCCAATCACACAACACCTTGTAGCCTCTCAATACTCTGATTAAGATGAGCAATTTCTAGTAAATTAGAGATTAGCGATTTTCTTGTCTCGAAGCATAACAAAAATTAGTTACATGTTTGATATCCACATTTGGGCATACTTGAACTGTTCAACTTCTCTTACACAAGGTCTACGCTAATTTTTTGTTTCAATGACAGGAATTGGTTCCTTGTGTGCTATTGTCATTCGATGATGAACAGATATTGATGTGGAGAGGAAAAGACTGGAAACCTATGTACGGAAATGGCCCTTCGGCTGTGTCCTCCAGAATTGATGCTGTTGCAGATGAAATAAATACTTCAGGACGCTCAGGTATGCATGAAATACTGGCAAATCCAGGAGGTCGGTCTACTAGGCCACTTCAATTTTTTCTTGCAGTAACTTTGTTTTTCTTGTCTTTTCACTGCTTCTTGCTCTCTTAGATGGGAAACAAATTGGAATTTGGTCCTCTCTAGCTCTGTAAACGGGAGAAAATTTGCTTGTGCGAAACATGTGTGCTTACTTTGAGTCAACTTATGCATGCAACCTGAGCAACTTGCCATGCGCTGATAGTTGTTTAATCTCATTTAAGACAACAGACATCCTACATGTCATACATCTCAAATGCGGAATATGATTATATTTCTTTTGCCTATTCTTGTTGCCTCTCATCAAGAGTTGCAAAACAAAAGAAAAAGATATGAGATGCTGCCAGGTTTTGGCCATGGAATCTAATGATCACTTGTGTCTATATTGCCTAATGTTTCCCTTTGTGCAATAGATAAACTATACTTATATTACATTCAAAATTACCGAACTTTAGACCGTCCTCTTTCTTGCAGACTAAACCAATTCGACAAGCTATAGTATTTATATGTTTTTGTTTTAATCCGAAATGCAGGCACTGCCAAAGATTATTCCAACACACACTTGAGAACACGGCGCACAAGCCCTAAAATGATGTCCCTGTGGAAGAATGCTATTGATTCAGGCAAGGCATTATTGCTAGACGACATTGATCTAAAACCTGATGATCTCTTGAACAAGGTGGAGGAATTCGCTAGCATTTCACAGGCCATAGAGCACACATATCCTGCTCTGGTTTTATCCAGTAAACGCGTCCCTGAACAGTCAGGATCGATGTGGAGAGGCAGTTCCGATGATGACAATGACAGCGACGATGAGATCAGTGATGGTGATCATGAAGATAAATATTACATTAACACCTCATTTGAAGCATTAGAGTCAACAGTTCCTAAAGGATTATTACCAGTTGACTTAATAGTAAAGGAGTTCAGTGATGATGAGTAAATAAGTTGTAAGGAAATAATGTAACCTAAATAGGAAGTCTTATTTAACTTTTTTTTTCTGTTTATTTTGATATTTATCTGTATAGTTGTATAATGTAAACAAGTTGAAAAAAAAAAAGTTCAATTGCATTCATGTTAAATATATAGAGCCATGTGCACTCAAGAATGTAGCTTAGCGATTAAGGAGAAAAATCGACGATTTTCATGAGATTATGATTGAAATTGCAGTAAAAATAAAAATGACAAAAGATTTCAGGTGTGCATTAATTGACACACAGATATCACCATGATAAAAGAAATTCATAATATGCGAAGTGAGTTTATAATTCATAAATTATATAATGGTAGGACTATAAATGACTATAGTTTCAAAAAGTTAAAAGAAAATTTAGCTATATTATGGAATTTTGGTAGCAAGTACACAATATACACGCACATCGATACAATTCGTTCGTGCCTTTTCAGTTAACATAATATCAATTTGCGGTATATAATTAATATCCGTTCTGTGGATACAACTCTTTCACCGTTAATATTAGTGTGCGATATTAACTAATACCCGCTTCTAAATTACTAATATACGCTTCTGAATACAACTCTTTTGTTGACACCAACGTGATATAACCCGATACAACAAGTTATATGCTCTAAACTATAGCTAATTCAAAAAAAATCTCAATAAAATATGCAGTTGGCTTAAATTGAGATAAATTTTAACTTTTAATTTCATTCATGTCTTTCTTAAAATAGCTTTAGAATAATCTCGATGTTAGTTATTCCACAAAAAAGAATCGAGCAATTTATCGTAACACCGTAAACCCACCCCACCCCCCAAACAATATCCAATTCCCATCATAGTCAAATTTCTTGACTAATATTCTTAAGCATAGTTGAATGGTTTAGAGGGAAAAAAGGTCCTTCCCTCATATAGAACAAACACACAAGAGAAACAAGGAAGGGCCTTTGGTGCAACAAAGGGGGGGAACCAAAATGGAAACAAATCCCTTTCATTTAATCAAACCATTATTTCACATCTTCAGGCCAATAAGGTACAATGTGAATTACCTTAAAGTTTACATGTTTCTCTTTGTTTCCTTTCTTGTTTTATCCCTAGTATAATTTGAACAGAGAAACATAGAGCAGAAATCTCTCTTTCTTTTTTTTTGATAGCATTAGGTTTTAAGACTATCTTTTTTTGTGTGTGGGTTCTTGTTATACCTCCAATTTTGGTTTCTGGGTTTCACCTCTTTTTGATCCTAGACGCTTCTTAGGTGCAGCTCAGAACAAAATAATTGTAAAAAAGATTAGATTTTTTTGATTGATTCATCAAGATTTTTTCTGGGTATATTTTATTGCTTGTGTAAATAGTCAATTTTGTGTTTGGGTGTTTGCTTTGTGCTTGTGTATTTTATTTACCTATTGAAAGGAATATAGCTTCACAAGAGTAAGGTCGACGTACATTCTATGCTCCTCGGTTCCACTTGTGGGGTTACGCGGGGCGGGGTATGTTGGTGTTGTTGATATGAGAGTCAAGAAAATATTCTCAGAATTGACACAACATTTAAAAAATTGTAGTCAATTTTAGTTGGTGGTTGGTTATGTGAGTTTATTCCAAATTTCCTTTTGAAGTATCTTTTAAGGTTTATGTTAAAGTATTTATATTGGCCCACAATCTCGGAATCTGAATTTGCCAAAAGTACCTGTAGATGCATTTATAAGTCGACTTTTGAACCAAACTTTTATATGGTAGTATGAGTGTCTACGGATATGTGGTGTCTAGTGCAGGCATCATGGTGGATTTTCAGAAGATAGAGTCTGTGAAGAGTTGGCCTCGACCTACCACTCAAACAGAGGTTTAGCTTGATAAGCTAAATAAACCTATAATGATAATCAAAATGATAACTTAGAACTTACCTAGTAAAAAGTTTCAACAAAGTAATGATTGAAAAGTTAATTTGATATTGTTACATCTTATCAAAAATAAGTTTGAGAATATTTTAGTGATTTTTTTGAATTAATTTTTAAAAGTTGTAACGAAAAATAGGTTTCCAAAATGAAAAGATTTTTATATGGAGAAGGACAGATGGAATGGAAGGCTTAGCTCACCCAGTGAGCTCGCTCTCTGCCTTCCACGGTTGAGGTCTAACTTTCAAACCCCATCAGTAGCGTATTGGGCAATGCTTTTCTTTTTCTTTTCTTGAATTCAAAACTCTCCCTCCTACTCTTAACCTGACACCTACGCGGTGACAATGTATTTTGCCATGCTTATCTTGTTTCCCTCTTGATATTGTTTTCTGGTTTGTTTTAACAGTGTTAATGTCCTTTTTATGATAGTATAGCAATCTGGCCTACAATCTGCGTTAAGGAACTTCCATCCTTGCTTTTTATTCTGTTCTAGGGTCCTGCATCTGCATCTTGAATTTTTCGTTTTAGCTCAGTACCTTATGGATATCAGGGGTGAAGGTACATGTAATGACGAGGGTTCAATTTGTTGGAAAATTTTACTGTAAAAATAGGATAAAGCTAAACCGTTTTGTGTATAATATGTGTGTTTTTTTGTCTCAATAAGATATATGTGTGTGCTGTTGAATCCTCTTAACATAAGGAAGCTTCTAGTTTAGTGGTTAAGTTGGTTCAAGAATTGTTTCAGGTCATACTTTCTAGTCCTGTTGTATGTTCTTGCATTTTTATTGAATCTCTTGTATAGTATTTTTGGCTCTGACATCGAGGATTTCATAGTGAGTTATAAACCAAAATCATTCCTAAGTTTGTAACGAACTTCTGGTAGATTTCACTTTATACTAAAGCTTAGACTGTTTTGACTCCTTTTTGTAAATTGTAAAGGAGCCTTTAAAAGAGGTTGGTGATCAATTTTTTCTTCTAGTTCTGCAGGATATGGAAAAGGAAAAAGTAATCTTCCATAAAAAAAAATACTCCCTTCGTTTCAAAAAGAATGACCTTCTTTCCTTTTTAGTATGTTTCAAAAAGAATGACCTCTTTCTTTTTTTGGTAATAACTTTCCACGTGGCATGTTTAAGGCCACAAGATTAAAGGGCAATTTTGTACATTTGACATAACTTTAATTTAGAACCACATGATCAAAAATCTTCTTTATTTTCTTAAACTCCGTGCCAAGTGAAACTAGGTCATTCTTTGAGAAACGGAGGGAGTACCATTTTTCAATTTGAGATATCACATAGAGTCTAAAGTTCTTGAATTCTTGCTAGCTGTAGGTTGGTCCACCTTTCAGAAAAAAAAAATATAAACTCAAGCTTTGAACGATTAATGCTTACAATGAGCTTCTTAACAGGATGTTCTAAACATACTTAGTGGCCAGTCATGAGAACAGCCACCGCAAGTTATTGGTTGACGTGGAATTTCTTATTCTTGGGTTTGGGGGTCATCGTACTTGTAGGAATTGCAGCACTCATAATATGGAAGTATGAAGGTTCGCCAAAGTTGGGAATCAAGGAAAGAGATATTAAGGAAAAAAAGGTTGGGTTCTTGTACAAAGACGAAGCTTGGACCACATGTCACAAATCAATCCATCCTGCTTGGCTGCTTGCTTACAGGCTAATTGCTTTCACTTTTCTTCTGTCAATGCTCTCCTCAGATGCTTATATGAATAGTTCAGATATATTCTTTTTCTATACTCAGTAAGGCCATCTCCTTATTACTTCCTCCATATTTCTTCTAGGCTTGATTCTGTTTCGGGGCGCTCTTGCTAACTTGTATCTTTGTTAATATCTCTGAATTCTGTGGGTTATCCTTCCCTAATGGAGTACTACTTCAATCCCTGATCAAGTTCAGGTTTATCTTAAAAGTCGGAATAAATGTGTGCACTTTAATGGTCATGCCATTGCTACCTTTTTAGCTTTTTCTTTTATTATTTGATGCTCATTCATGATTATTTAAAATCCTTAGCTTCTAAAGGATGGATGTCTTATCGATCAAGTTTCCCCTTGATAGAGCTATACTAGAAGCCTAATTATCTCTTGAAGCTTTCAAAATTTAAGAGAATTGTGTTTAATGAATTTCAGTTTTACACGTTCATATACAATTTTACTTGCTCATAGCATGATACTTCGTCTTATATTTTGCTTTTGATAATTCTTTTTGTACTGGACAGGTGGACATTCTCTTTGGTCACTATCTATTTTGGGGTATGTTACTCAGCAATTAAACCAGGTTTACCATTCATTTCAACATATGATCTGTAGGATGTAAATATCTTGAGATCTGCCCTCTAGTTGTTATTTTTCATATAGATACATATACAAAATGAAAATGTTTTTTCCTCATCCAAAGCATAGTAACTATCCCCCTTGCTAAATAGCTCTGGGAATATTCTCTCATTACAACATTATCATCTCTACCCCTTGCATATTTAGTTTCAAATTTCCCTTGTTTTTTTAATTTGGTTATGTTCTCAACGAAATTCTGTAGCTAGGGTCTTCGCTCTCCATCTATGGCTGTATCCAATATCGAAAGGGTGTTAATAGTGCAAAAGTTTGTTGCGTTGATGAAGAGAGAAACGATTCTCCAACTCTTGAGAAGAATGCAAGTTTACCTGGCATATCCAAGGATTTGAGTTCCGTTGAGGAAATTGATGATAGAGAACCGGCAGGTTATTTGGGCTATCTCTTTCAGATAATTTTTCAGGCATGTTCTCTCAAGATTCACTCACATTTGTTTTTATATTTTTCTGATTATGGAGTAAATCAGAACATTTAATTTTATTTTTCATATCTTGCTTTCCTTATACTCATTTATGGCATATTTAACCTATTATGGCCATTTCCTCATTTCTTATAGATATTGAATTTAATATTTTTCAATCTAATTAACTCTATTAACATGTCTTAGGCCTCTAGTAGAAATGCGACTTTGTATTTGTTACTGGTTGATCCGGTTTTATGAGTCGTTTTTACATCACTTCTCATGTCTCGTTATGATCCTCTTTTTCCTAGTTTAAGTTGCTATCTGGAAGGGAAGCTGCACCCTTCAAAGAGGTTCAAGGACATTAACTTGGCTGATTTACTTTTATTTTGATTTTGTTCAAAACTTTTAGGTCTGTGCTGGTGCCGTGGTGCTTACGGATTGCGTTTATTGGCTTCTTATCTACCCGTTTTTCTTGCCCAGTGGTTCCGGATTGCAATTTGTAAGTTCTAAGAACTGTAGTTCCCTTAGTTGAGTCTTATTTCATTATAGTTAACTGGCTTGACTCTATTTCCCTTTTACATTTTTCTTCAATTTGTGGCTTCTGTGTACTCCCCTCTGTTACAATTTGTTTATCTTACTTTTCTTTTGTCTATTTAAAAGGGAACGTCTCTTCCCTTTTTTGGCAACTCTTTGTTTCCAACTTTCCACATGTCATGTTTAAGACCACAAGATTAAAAGGTATTTTGGTACATTGTACATATCTTTAGTTTAGTTTAAGACCACAAAGTTCAAAAGTCTTCTTTACTTTCTTAAACTCCATGCCAAGGCAAAACTTGACAAACAAATTGAAACGGAGTGAGTATTTATTATGCAATACAGCCTGGTCATGCACTGTAGTGCTAAGTCCAGAGTGTTGTTCAGTTATGCTTTGCTACTCAACTTTTTCAATTTTGAGGTCATTAACGACTCACCTCTGGTTTAAAATTTGGCAATTTCTTTTACAATCAAGTATCACTTTTACTTTCTTGATTGTGTGGTTGTTCTCACCCTCCTCGCCTTTGCTTTAGTTTCTGACATATTTCAATATGCATGGGTACTGAAAACTTGAACAGCAGAAAATTCACGGTTGTAATATACTAAATCCTCTTAGAAGATGGAAGTACTTCAACTTCACCATTGTTTACCTATGCATTCGCTACTATTAACTGTGCCGAGTTCTGAAATTTAGGCAAAAGATGTATAATCTACCAGATTTATAATTTACATGAAAAATTCACTGGACTGTTCTTGTATCGATAATTCCACTGCACACGATGATTTGAAAGAACAATTTTACCTGGATTCCTTCATCATTAATTGTGTAACTTGTCAACATGGAAAGGCTTCTCTAATCTAGTGAAAAGTTGAGCAGTGACATCCGCACGTATGTGTAGAGACCATGATTAGTATTTATTTCTGCTTTGCACATAGTTCAAATGATGTTTAACATGTTTTTATCACAAGTTGATTTTCTTCCGATCTATGCAGCTAGTTATTGGTATGCATTCTATCAATGCTATTACCCTGCTTGGCGATGTGATTCTGAATTCTCTAGTAAGTTTGCATTCACAACTGGCTTAAGCTATAAACGTATCCCATGCCCAAACTGTGGCTAACATACTTTCTTGCTTCCTTCCAGCGGTTCCCTTTCTTCAGATTTGCATATTTTGTTCTTTATACATGCACATTTGTCTCATTCCAGTGGCTCGTCCATATGTGTGTCTCAAAGTGGTAATGTTTGCTTATGCCATGCTTTTCGTCATCGTTTTTTCAGAAAGTAAGAGTCATCTAGGCTTATACTGTTACTAATTAGAGTTAACTCTTGTTGCAACAGGTGGCCTTATCCCTTCCTGGATATTTCATACAAATATGCCCCCTTAGTGTATGTGTCCAATTACTCTCATATATACAAAGTTTACATCTACTGAAATGTCTTCCATCAACTAGTTAAGCTTAAAACCTTCATTAACTGCAACTACTGAGATCCGTATGATTAAGATTAAAACCTTCATTGAGTGCAAATAAACGATCATAAGCTTATCGTTTTGCCTCATGTGTAATTGTAGGTACTTGATGGTTGGTGTGGTTCATCTCCCTTGCTATGGTATGTTTGCCTTGGTGATAGCATTGAAGTATTGGTTAGCAAGATTGTTCAAATGGACTATTAGAAAGCTATCTGGAGACAAACAGTGAGTTCAAATACCATTAAACAAGTCAAATAACATTATTATTACTGGCAATGTCTTTTTTTCTTTAAATTCTTAGTGTTGCTCAGATAAATGAGCTAAGCAACACAAGCTATTCTATTCATACATTTTACCCTCACCCCGAGTTCGAGATCATCATGTATATATATATATGTGATTTTTTCTGTTATATCCTCGAAACCATACGAAACTAGAAAGAAAATGGGAATTGTGCCTCTCTTCCTTTACTTGCAGAACCGGTTTTTTTGAGTCTGGTTTGATATGTTGATGTTGTTGCTGTGTTAACTCTCTTGTATAATTACTCGTTGAAGTGAAATCCGCTTCAGCATCAACAGACTCGGAAGAAATGGAAAGAGATTTTACTCCCATATTCTTGAATCTCGTTTGTATATCCTTTTCATATATGATATGTTCTACTTGAGTCGAGGGTCTATGGAGGTTGCATATACACCACCCTCTCCGAACTTCGTACGTAATTGTTGCTTGAATCTCCATGAGTAACTTACCTTCATATTGTCTACTATTCTCAGCTTGTGTTGCAAACCACTAAAGTCTATAACAAAGGGGAAAATATGTGAAGCCTCTTTTAGTCTTTTAGCAAAGATTTAAAAGGCATAAAACATAATTGTATCATTTAAATTTAGCCTGAACTAGTATCTAAATAGACATTTGAACTTATTTAAGATTAAATAAGTAGACACATTTTCGAGCTTTGAAAAATGACATTACAATGTACCATTCAAATAGACAAAACTCTAAAACGAATATTGAAATACTGAGTGGGACACAACATTCTTAATATTCTTCTACATTATGGAGATATTAAGTATCCAATAAAATAATCGAGGTGTAGACAAACAACGAGTCCTATAACAATAACAACATAAGCGTTCAATTGTCAAGAAATATTATCTTCACAAATCGCTCATCGATGAAGCATCCAAATCTTGGCAAAAGTGATGCACTCTTTGGAACTCATTATCCACCAAGTTTCGAATTATATGTCATAATGTTAAAGAGCATTTTTTTATTATTAAAAAACATGCTATTTAACATTTTCAGTAGTTCAAACATATCAGAAACACACAGAAGAAAAATTATGCACAGGAAATTGTTTGGGTTTTATTTGTCCTAATTTTTTAAACATTAAATAGGTATTCTTTTTAGGAAAAGATTTTGAATTGACTAATCGGTAGGAAAAGGTTTAGGACTCTGTAAGAGACATGTTCCTTCTAACTTAATCAGCATTCGCTTTGAGAGTTTTGTTTAGAGAGAGAATTTGTGGGTCACAATCTTGATACGTTATCACTTTGTGTTTTCCAAGTTGCCCCTAACAAACGATAAATTGGTTATAGTTGTTTGTCTCAACTCAATAACCAAACAATAGAGAGAACAACCAAACAAAGGGATGAGAAGTACAATCTTGAACAATAATCATAACTTGCATAACCCTATTTTGCTCTCATTAGTCTTTATTTATTAACCACGATTAGTTCGGTGGTGGACTGCTTTGCCAATTACTCGGTTATATGACATTCAGAAAAAAGCAAATGACTTTCACTTTATGAAAGCATTTACAGTTGATTTGCTTGTCTCACTGTATCGTGTCAAATTGTTATAGAAGTGAGAAGTTATACATTCATTTTATGAAACATTTTCTCTTATTGGGAAAACTAAACAGTTAATACCTATAACTCGAAAATCGATAATAAATATGTTATTGGTTTAGCATATTTAAAACTTGATACACCGAACCAATAATACATAAAACTGAACCAACCGATACACACCACTAATACAATGTGTGACATCAATTAAACTTCTCCATCTCCTAAGGTATAACTTGTGTATCAATCTTTACCTTCACGTTTGCCTCAAAATTATAAACTTGATAAATATAGTTAAATGAATTTTTTTTTCCTAAAATAAAATAAAATTGAAGAAAAATTGATTTTTTGGATTAATAAATTAACATCAAGCATTTACTTTTAAAATAAAAAATAAAAAAAATTAATCCGACCTGCCGGATTCGAACCAGCGACCTAAGGATAACAGCAACAACTACAGTCCTCCGCTCTACCAACTGAGCTAAGGTCGGAACTTGTTAAAACAACACATATTATTATAAGTATTATTACAAAGTTGTAAAAGACGTTATCAATAATTGAATAACAAAAATCGAGGATTATGATAAAAGGTTAGTCAGTAGTCGTTCTAGTTTTTATAATCTATTTTTATTTTTCATATTTGATTTTTATATAGTTTACTTGAGTCGAGGTCTATCGAAAATAGTCTCTCTAAGATTCACACGATAGAGATAAAGTTGTGTACAAATCATCTTCCTCCAGATATATCGTTATTGTAATTGTAATAACCAAAATTATTTGAAGATAACAAACTCTTATTTAAGGTATAAATTTTTATATCTTAAATTAATTAATTTAATATACTATCATAGGTTATTAGTGTGGTCATGTAAATTTTTAAATAAAATTAGTTAACAGCTAGCACTACTTTTGATATTTAAACTAGAATTGCAAGACGTGTTTGGTTAAGGGCAATAAAAAAAAATCAAAAGATTGTAACTTATCTTAGGTTATAAAATTTAATTTAATAAAATGTAAAAGGTTGTGGACCAAATCTACTTTATTAGTTTTCCTTAGTCTATAAGTGAATGCACGAAAGAGACTTTCATTAAGATATCTAATATTATCAATAATATATTTACCAATTTGAAGTTTAATTACATCACATATATTCAATTTTTTAGTCAATTAAAAAAAAATTCTAATATTAGATACATATTAATGTTGAATTTCACTTATTAGACATTTTTTTTAATGACATGAAACTAAATTATTAACCAAAAAATATTTTGAAAGCAAAGTAATAATTTTTTTAAAAAAACTCACAATATAAAGCAGATGCATCAATAAAGATGTTTGAAACATAAAAAGATACTTGAAGCATGAAGTAAGCACGTCAATGAAAAGATATTTGGCTCTTATAATTAATATTGAAATATCCTCGATATGAAATCGACACATTAATAAAATATATTTACGTTTAGTCTCGTATTCATATTTAAATATTTTCGACATGAAGTAGGCATATCTGTGAAGAAGTATATGTTTTAGGGTCTTATGAATGTTGATTGATGATAAATAATCTATTGAATATTAATTTTAATTTGATTAATTTGTTTGGCATCATGTATATATTAGTAGTTGATCATAATTTAATTATACACAAATGGACAATTAATTGTCGTTGTCCATTTTCAATTCATTTATTTGAGTCCATTAGACGCAATTAATTAATTTTAAAGGATAATGTTTATCCAAAACAATTCACCGTCCTTCAATGACTCTTTCCAATAAATAATTAATCATATTATTTTCCACTATAAGTCCATAACCATTCAATTTTTGGATGCCATAAAAGAAGCTAACTTTTCTTAATTTATTTTTATCGGCTAGTTTAAAATTTACTGATCTGATTAATGTATATTAGAATTTATTAATTTGTATTTTTATTGAATTGTTTTTTTATTAATATATGCAACAATAAATTTGGATGAATTCATGAGTTTGAATTTAAAATTTTTTAATATTGAACATATATTTTTTACGATATAAAACTTTGTTATGCATATAATATTACAAGAGATTTATTTAAAACATTGGCTTTTTCTTTGATTATTTATGCTTTTACGACTTTTAGGTACCTAAATTAAATTATTCTTGATACCACTATCACTTCAAACTTTAATTAATCAAAGATAAACTTTTTTAATTAACTTAAAAGTTATTCTTTATAATAGAGAGAATTTATTGATGCTGTTTAGAACATTATCGTGACAAGGAATAAAATTGAAACAAAAAAGAAAGAAGAAGAAAAAAAAAGATACGAATATTTTCTTTAACAATACCTCTATACTTAATTATCGGTGATCTGACAACTAATTAGGAGCTAAATTATTTTATGTATTTTTAATTCTACATCAGTAATATCATGTTGTTTGATTTATAATTTAAATGCACAAAACTAAAGCAAATATACATTACGATAAAATTAATATATTATATTTTATACATGATAAAAGATGAAATAATACTCATATAATACGATATTATGAGTAGAATCTTACTAATGCAACTTTTTTTTTTTTTGCAATTATTAAACTTAGTGTTATCCTTCCTAAAATTTTCAAATTTTGTATAGAGATGGAGTAAGTTAGACTTATTGCCTTTTGGTCTTGAACTTTCTATCTTTAGTTTACTTGGGAAGTTTATAATATGAGTATCAAAAGTATTTTAGAATGTTGTTAGCCTAAACTAAAAGCAAGAAAATAATAATAATTTGCTTATTTGTTAAAACAATATTAGGTGATAATAATTATGTTAATGAGAATTAGGCAATAATTGTTATTTAGAAGTGTAATGTTTTTGAGATCTAAGTGTTGCTATGATTTAAATGTTTGATAGAATGCAATTCAATTTTATAAAAAAAAAATAAATGAACCTCTTTGTTTTTTTAAAAAAAATAATTCTATTGTTGGTAACTGAATTTCTTGTTATAGAAATTATAATTTGTTAAACATATGAAAAATAAATCAATCATAAGTAAAACTTGAAGAAATTTAATTATTTTATTGACAAATCAACAGTACGGATATCTTTTTAATTTTTTTTAATGAATAGTGCGGGTATAATTCTATTATTTCATTGAATTTTTTTCTCATAAAATGTCTCAATAAGTGTATAATGCCATATTTCTTCTTTTGACGAAAAATATATTTATCAAAAATAACTTTTGTAGTATGAAGAATACCACTAATTCTGGACAACCTATAAAGACAACAACAAATACGCCTAAAAATTAAAATTTAAACCATAAATTTACGATGATAAATTTCATATTAAAAATAAAATACATTCTAATAAATATGATTTTATATTTAAAAAAATTCAAATTTAAGATCTTTAAATAAAAATGAAAGAATATTTACGATTCTAACCGTAATTATAGTTGATCGTCGCCCTCTCTTCTCATGTGCACTGTCTCTGGGTATGGAATTATATCTACTTTTTAAGTACAATATTTTAAATATAAAATTAAAAAAATATTTTTAAAAACTGACTTGTTTGTCTCTTAAATAAATCACTTTTCAGATGTACCCCTTTTTCACACACTACAGAAAATTGCTAGATTTTATAAGTAAGCTTTGAGTTGTGGTATGATTGATAAAAAGTTCTATTATTTTAAATAATAAATTTTGAATTTAAATCTTAAGTTTAAAAATAAATTTTGATAAAAAAATACTTTTTTAATGTAACTTGAGCGATACAATTAAAAATTTTAATTTATATCAAATATCGAATGAGGAAAGTAATTATCCCAAACCTAGCTTCATAAGTATGTTTAAATG